TACACAACTTAGTGACCAAGCAATATGTGGAAAACGATATAAAGACACATCTACTAGATGTCATGGAACATGGATTTAAACTATAGGCAGAACTGAAGCAGTAGAGATTTGTATTGAAAGAGAAGAGGCTGTTTGGCATAATCACTAAAGCTAAACTTCCGCTCTTTAATAGCCATAGTATGTTTCGTCCAACCAGCCACTACAAAGCAGGTTACAAAATAAACAACTTTTGCACGCACATATAGAGAGATGTAGAGATGTAGCAAAAGAAAGGGGTGCATTTATACTGTTGAATGATTTATTTTCAACAAGCACATTATTTGATGGATATGCTGAAACCAAACCAGTGAAGCACAAACTTGTATGAGAGCTCAAAAAACACAACTTTTACCTAAAGAATTTCAGTTCAAAAAGATGTTGAAAATTGCTGTTGTTGTGGACTCCATGTCACAATGGCAAATGGTCAAGATTCATCCATGCAAAACTTCAAAGATGTAATTCAGATTGTTTTACAGATATCAAATTCAGTGTGCACCATGACCATGCAAGAACTGCACACTATCTTTGACAGTTATCTTGAACTATCTGTCAAAGAATGTGAGAAAATCAGAAGAATGTCTAAAAGTGGAACAATTGACCTTGCATCAAAAATTCCACACCTGTACCTGTGTAACTTGATAAATTCTGGTCATCAACATCAAACAAGATGAACTCGGAGATGTTAACTCGCAAAACCATTGCTGATGCTTCAGTGAACACTGAATTTCCAATTATTGCAAGTGGAATGGTTGTCAATGAGTAATTGGTGCCTGTAGAGATATATTCAAGAAGGTATGGGTCATATTGTTCAAGAACTTAACAGCAATTTGGAGCAAGCTGACTTGGTTCCAAGCAAGTCATTGTACTGTCAAATTACACAAATGTTATTATTGTGCTACTTAGATTTGTTCCAATGTTCATAGGTCAAGGTTTGTCAGAGTTATGGATACATTATGGAACAGTTGAGAAAGGACATTAAATCCCACTGCCCAGTGTTCTTATCAAGGCACATATTCGTACAGGTGATGAGCAAAATTGGAACAAAATTTGGAGCTTTAATTGCTGAATCTGTGAAGTTTCTAAACAAATTTGCTGATACAGAAGAAGAATGTGAGTTTAAAGACGGAAAATGAGTTCTGACGGCCACACATTTGACGATCTTTGGTACAGTGAGTTCAAGCGATCAGTCCCACGAAGTGGCCTTCCACTGACATTATATTCTGTGCGTGGACACATTTAAAGAGCGTTCTACTAAATCAGAAGATGTGTAAATGTTTTGTATTATGTATATGTAGTGAAAGATCAGTGTGAATTTGGTTGGGAAGATATTGATGGGGTGCTAAAACCTCCAAAATTTCTAAGGCCTCTACCCACAGAACTTACACGTGCATGTACTTGTAAAACATGTGCTACAAAAAGATGTCCCTATCAATATGCTCTTCTCAAATGTTCAACATTCTGCATATGTACCATTTTTTCCATATTCGTATCATGAACATTGTTTGGTGAATACATAAAAGCATTAAAATTATTTTTTTGTTTTATTTCTATATATGGCTCTTCTTCCTCTATTATAGCCACCATTTTGGAAAATGGCAGAAGGGTTACTCTGAAGACTACTTGATCCCCAAAATATATGTTTTGACACCAAAATTAATTACATAGTGTAAGGAAACCTAGTATATCCAATCCTCATTCGGTAGTTTCCTCCCGAACGGCCAGAGCATCAGTAATTATAGCTCTCCATTCGGCAGATGAAATAAACGAAATCCATACGAATACAATAGCTTTACAAGATGATTCCCTTAATAAAGCATACGAATCCCCAAACATCAGCCAAAGTCTGGAAGAAGGGTGCAACAGAACTGGCTTTTAATTATGACACACTGGCCTTTATGCAAGTCCCTGTGCAAGGGGACATCCCACAGGGAGGGACAAGGTACATCCAATCAGTTACAAGGAAAACATAAAACACTCCCAGCACAAACATACAATTCCCTCCCCTAGTACTGGAGATAATCAGGTCTGATAAAGTAACAACTTAATTATCTCCAGGCAGAAAAATTACAGTTTTACCCAATATTTAGAATACCCCTTTATGCATATGGTATCCCCACAAATAATATGTCCCCTGATAGCCCCGATCTGGGTGACCAACATATTCAAATTTCACCCAGATCGGTTCAGGGGTTCTCAAAAAGTATGGAAGTCTTTTGTGACCGGCTAACCGTGAGGTTGCTAC